AGGCAGGGAAGGGTGTACAACTCTCGAGTAGTTTCATTTCTACCACTTTGCCTGAAGGTCCAGCTGCCTTCTCAAGGTTCCTAGGATCTGGAGGCCTCAGACTGTTTGAGGCCCTGGCCCAGCCCTGGCAAGGGAGTGACATTGTTGCTTCTGTGGAATGTTGACCTCTGCCCTTGGAAGCTGGCTCTATCCGGCAGAGGTGCACAGGCTCCTCTCCTCTGAAGTGGTTTCCTTTAACATGACGCCTTGCCTCCTCCATCCCTCTGCTTTGTTCATCACTCTAGATACGGGTTCTCAACTTGGGCACCACTGACGTTTTCGGGCCAGATGATTCTCTATTGTGAGGGCTGTCTGTGATTGTAGGGTGTTTAGCAGCATCCCAGGCCTCCACCCGCTAGATGCCATAGGACACCAACTCCCCCACCCGCCTCCAAATTCTGACAAAAATGTTTCCAAATGACCTTGGTGGGGGTGGAGAAGAAGGGGGTGCAAAATTTCTTCCGGTTGAGAATCACTGCTCTAGATGTTTCTGGTACTGAGATTGGATTTTTACTTAATTGACTCTGCTTTTACCAACATGCGTGAGTTTCAAACTTAGAAAACTTAGTAAGACCAAAACACTGATTTCTTCTATAGAATAAAAATACTGTAGTTTAAAACTGAGGTTTTTGCTAATTGATGATACTACCCTTTAATTGCTCCTCAAAAGGGCAAACAGTTCATTTTCAGAACTTGGAAAGAAGAGTAGTTCAGATGAAAGCATTTTAAAGTTAGTACCAAAGTTTACAATGTTTAGTTAACAGTGTTTGCCCTGGAGTTATTTAAATGGACAAGAGGTATCAATAGTGTTTAATTAGGCTCGTTCCTATGATCATCAGCTTCTCTGAAAGTGGATGCATGCTCAATCATCTGCTCTACCCAGAGCGCCTTGAATTACAAAGACATTCAGAAGGGAAGGTTAGATGGATAGATGTGTGATAAAACAAAACAAAGCAAAATGTTAATTGCAGTATCTAGGTGATGGAGTGTGAGTGATAACTAACTTCTTTCAACTTTTTTGTATGTTTGAAAGTTTTCATAAAATGTTGAGGAGGAAAGCCTCTGGAACTGCTGGTTTGGTTGACTTTCTTTACTCTCCTGTTATTTCGGTTGGATGTAGTTCAGTTGCTGTACTATCAATATTGTAATAATTAGGTAATACAATTGGTGGTCCAAAATCCAGGCTTTAATATCATTTTGTCTTATTTAAAATGATGGCTATGCTGCTGAATTAAGTGTGAGAATGTTTATTATTGCAAACCATTATAGAGAAGTGTGATGTATTATTACTGTTTTTACTCACATCTGAATATTTTTGAGACATTTTCTAACTTCTAAAAGGGGATGATTTCCTCAGTATTACCAAGATAAATTCTAGGCTTGCACCATCCCGTATTTGCAGAATATTCTTCGTTGGAAATCATTCTTCTCTCTACCTTTTCACACCCTCTCTCATAGTTTAGACTAAGTTTTATATAAATTGCATGCATTTAATTGACGTGTTTCTTTGTTAGTTTTAGTGCTGGTTATAGCAGTGTCTTGTATATGGTAAATACTTAATAAATGTTTACTAAGTCAGTGAGTGAAGATTTAAAGAGAAATGGGGGCGGGGAATCCTTCCTTCTCTTTTTCCTGTTAGAGACTTTTTATTGCCCCAATTTGGGATTGAATGTTTTGAATGATGTACAGATTATTTGTAGAGTTAATACATTTCTGCTCCAAAATATTTTAGAAATATTCTAGGAAGATTGTGGTATGCAAACTATTTATAGATTAGAATCACGTGAGGACAGGCTCCCGAGGCAGGCAGGAGGCATTGATGCCTCCAGGAGTTGCTGCCATTTTGGGAAAAGACAAGATTTCATCACCTGCCGTCCTTGTGGGCTTTGTCTTGTTACTTTTTCTGGAGACGAATAGAGGCTGAGTTTCTGTCTTCCTGACTAAGCTTCAGAGGACCACAAGTGGAGTGGACACTAGAGGTAGGATCACATTTTTTTCTCATAAAAATGAGGAACACAGCTTTTTTTCCTTGCCTAGTAAAAAGGCTCATAGCCAAAAAGTTATAAACAAATTTGAAGGTTTTGGAATAGGAAAAATACATAGGAGCCTGACATCTTTTAACTTTTTGACTTTGTGGTCTACAAAGGTGCTAAAGAAAATTGTCTTTAGTGAAAGATAGGAGCTTATTTTTAACAGAGTATGAAACATTCTGTTAATTGGCTAAATTAACATTTTATAGCTGACTAAATCATTATTGAATGCTATTGATTAGATATGTAAAAAAAAATCATAATCTCTGAGCCAGAAGTGAATGAAGGCAGCAGGACTGGCCCACTTTGGCCTGTAAGTTGGAAAGGGGAATATTTGCTTCTACCTAACAGCTAGTGCTACGTTTTGGCGTCTGTATTGTAGTGTTTATGTGCAAACATGCTGTGAAGTCCCCATTTTCTTCCTCCTCAGCTAATTAGGCGAACAGTTTCTTACATATGATTTGATTTCTACAATGCAAATTCTTCTGGGGGAATAAATAAAATTAGCAGATGCCATCAGATGAAATAGTCATTTCCATATGCTGGTAAAATGATGATACTTTTATGTAATAAGTGTTCTGTACGACATAAATTATTTTCTTGATGAAGAAAAAACATATCTCCCTTGATCACAGCCTTAAAATCCTGGTGATATTTTTGACGTCTTTGCCATTACTCTAATTAACTATATATAGAAAACTTAGAGGCACATTTAGTCCAAGCTCTTTCAAGAACAGTGAGTCTCCTTAAATGCTGTTGACAAAAATAGAAAATGTACAGTGACAGGAAGGTTTTAGGTTACCAACACCTTGCTTGATCCAGCAGATTTCTTTGAGCTTGCCCCCTTTATTTAGAATATGAGGAGGGAGTGGAATCCTTGTAAAGGGGATCCAGGAAGCACTGTATCTTGTAGTGCTTACAGGGCATGAGAGGGGAAAAGACTTGACAGACTTTGCAACAAAGCAAGAGTTTTAAGTTTTTAATTGAAAATATTCAAACAGAGGGCACCGTAGGCATTGCAGAGTGGAACTTGTAATAATACGTGGAGAGCAGGGATCAGCAAACTTCCTCTGTAAAGAGCCAGATAGTAAATATTTTAGGGCTTTGTGGGTGCTATATTGTCTGTTGCAGCTACTCAGCTTTGCAGTTGTAGTGTGAAAGAAGCCATAGTCAATGTCTAAATGAACGAGTGTGGCTGTATTCCAATAAAACTTTATTTATGAACACTGAAATTTGAACTTCACGCTGTTTCTGTGTCACAAAATATTCATCTTTTGATTTTTTTCCCCCCAGTGATTTAAAACTGTAAAATACATTCTTAGCTCATAGGCCGTACAAAAAGAGGTGACAGGCTGTTGTTTGCTGACCCCTAAATCTTAGTCCGTGATACTGCTAACCAATAAAACATGTGACATGGGGGTGGAGTAGGACATCTGTCCCACGGTCTGCCGTGCTTTTTTAATATCAAGCAGGACTTAAATATCCCTCCTTAATATCAAGAGGAGTTAAAAAATATAAAATTTGCCTTATCTTTGAGGAGAGATGAGAAAAATAAACTAGGAAGATGAGAGAATGTGTAGCAATTCTCAGTGGAGTCAGAACACTGGTATTCTTAGGAATTTGCTAAACGTCCACCGCCACGACTAAGTTCAGCAGGCGCAGTTCCTGGAACACAGAAGAAGGAGGAATGCATCCTCGGTGAGGATGTCTTCTGGATTTTAACCGCAGAGCTCTTCGAAGAGTCTAAATCTATCAGAATCCAGCGGTGTAGTTTTGTGAGACATTTCTTACAGTGACACCTGAGAATGTTCACGCTATAAGTACAGGAGACAGTAAAATGAAAGAACCTTTAAAGAATCGAGCATGTTTTATTGGCTCTTGCTGCAACAGATCTCTTGGACCTGTTATTCAGAGACAGGCTTAAGTGAGGACAGGACTGCTACTTAATTTAACCAGCATTTTTAGGATTTAGTGTTGGCAAAATATTTGGAAATGTTGCAAAATACAAAATATTTCAGAGTTTTGACCCAGAAATGTAGACGGGGATTTTGCCAAGCCTGCTTTTTATGCAGCAACGTGAGAATGTTTCTTCCTTGCTTTAGTTTCGTCCATCTTCTAGAGCAGGTGACAAAGATTGACTGGCTTGGATGGAAACGCTCCCAATCAAAGGTATAGCTAATATTGTAAAAAACAGAAATTTTTCTTGAACCAGATAAGGAAAATTTGATGAAGATTTGGTGAAGGAAATGCAGTATCAGAAGAGGCAGAATCAGTTGTTAGCAATGGCTTGGAAAATGAAGCTAGGAGACAAAAGTTTTATTTCAAAGAGTTCCAGTGGAATTTGTTTTTATATTTTGATTTTTAACCTTAATATCTTTTTCGAAAATGAGTTTTGTTGTATCCACTTGATATCAAGGAAAACGTTACATTTAGAAAATAGAACTTTTGTCATACTGATTTTTTTTCCTGTTCATGGATTTTTGTTTGCTGCTTTGTAAATGGGAAAACTTGAGAAGTGCTAGATGTCTTAAAGTTGGATAGCTTCATTTGAAACTCAAAGTTGACATTTAAAAATAAGATGGTAAATTTGTAAATTTGTGGTGTTTAATATACCAAACCAGGTTGAAATTACCTCTGTGAGCTTTAATAAATAACTTTCTTATGCTAACCTAAGTGACTTTAGATATTTTAAAAGTACTTTGACATGTAAGTAAAAGTTTTAGAATTCTCCTCTTCTTATATTCCTTTTGTTTGGGGGAAAATAAACTTTCCCCTGTGACTTAACTATGAAATTTATGTTTCTGATTGGCTAATGAGCTGGAGTGAAATTAGGGAAACTTGTGATCTTTCCATTTGAAAACCAGAAGAGTGGACAGTGCTTTGTTTTTGACTGAGGCTGACGTGTTCTCTTGTGTTTTACTCTGTTTTCAGTGAAACCAGCAGTGTCTGTAGCAGCAGTGACACAGGGCTCTTTACCAACGATGAAGGACGGCAAGGTAATCTTGATCCCAGCTTTGGGGCATTGGTTCTGGGAAGATCCTAATGATTATAGGAGTGACGCCCTGAGAATATGATGGTTGTCTGTGGCAGTGGTTCTCAAATCTTAGGGCACATAAGAGCCACCTGGGCAACTGTTAAAACTGTAAATTCCTGAGCTCCTAGAAGTCAAATAGGTCTAGAGTTGGCCCCTGGAATCTGCATTTCCCACAAGCACCTGTGGTGACTTTTATGCAGGTCGTTCAGCCTTTGAGAATCATTGATCTAGGGGGTTAGAGTGTCAAGGATGGGACTTTGGGAAGTCGCTTTTTATTAGAACCAAAAAATATCCTAATACACTCTTTCTTTGGGTGTTAAGACATTTGTATTTTCACATAGGGAGAATTTATTTTTATAACCTTATTTATAAATGGTCATAGTGTTCTGGGTGAATATATTATAGAAAACATCTTCTTTCTAGAGTTAAAACTCCTAAAGTTTAGTACAGAGCGCTGTGAATAAGGCTGGTGTATGTTAATGATCAGTTCTTTATTTTTACTACCTAAACAGTCATTTGAAACTTTGTTCTTGCCCTGTACACTTGCTTAGGGCCACACTAATTGTGTACCAATAAGAATTTCATAAAGTTCCTTGGGAATGTAGTTTTCTTAATCTAAGTAAGGGATTTGCAGATCTCTAAAGACCCTTCTAGCTCGGAAACCCAGTGATTTTTCTCTGAGGGTTAAGTGATTGAGGGACAGGCATGGTGGCTGCCTGTCTGGGTTGATCCACAAAGGCCCCCCAGGGATCCTGGGCCTGTGAGACTCAGCATCCAAGTCCTGATGTTGAGAGAGACTGTGGGGAGGGTCTCTCCCCCATGCCTCCGAGTTGTGGACGTGGATGGAGGTGTCGAGCCTCCTACCATATGGGAGGTTGTTATGAGTACAGTTCTAGCCCTTTCTCCCTCTGAGGGAGCTAGGTGTCATTAGTTACCTGTGCTTTCAAAGCTGTGTGTGCTGCTAGGTGGGCTCCTGCTAGAGTCTTGGTTCTCTTATCTCATACCAGGAAATCTTTCCTGGAAAGATCTGGTTATCTTTGCATGAATGAGTTGGTGCATACTGCTCAGAATTACTAATATTTGTTCTTTTTCTTTGCTTTTACTACAGTCCTATGAAGTATCATAATGCGCCTCTTAAGGGTTATGATGCATAATTAAACAGAGGTCTTTAACAGTGGTCCTATTACAACAGATTAAGTTTTGGGCCTTTGGAAAGCCTTTCTACTGATAAGGAATCTTTGGTTCATCATGGAGGATTGTAGAGTATTCTGTAGCCCCAGCTTTTCTCTCCGTCTCCGCCTCAACTTCAAACATTCTGCTGATATTTAGATGCTTAGAGTTCTCAGCACAAAGCTGTGTTATTTCCTGCTTTTGTGTTTTTGTTTATGCTGGTCTCTCTGCCTGAAATCTCATCCTCACCCTTCCTTGAATGGCTGATCATCCACCGAGACACAGTTCTCCTTTTTACCCTCCAGGGCATATTTATGGACTACGTCAGTGGGCTTTCTTGCCCTCAATTTCTTGTTGGGTTTGGCCAGAAGGAGGCATCAGCAGAAGAATGGAGGGAGGGAGGTGAATAAGATTGGATGCATTAGTTAAGTTTTTATTATGGTGATACTGTTTAACAGCCCTCAAATTTCAGTGGTTTACATTTATTTCTTGCTTATGGGACTGGAGGTTAGCTGTGGTTCAGTTGATCTTACCCAGGTTCAGCTGATCTTTCAGCTTCAACTTAGGTTTGTATGTACTCAGTGTATCTTATCCTGAGACCTAGGCTAAAGGAGCAATGGCTGTATGTGGCATGGACTTCTCATGGTGGAGGACAGGAATGACAAGTGACCAAGCCAGATCATGCCTGGATATTTAAAGCTTTTGCTTGAATCACATCTGCTAATTGTTACTACCTACAGCAAGTCATAGGACCAAGCCCAATGTCCGTGGGGTGAGGAAGTGTGCTCTGCCTCAAGGGGAAGGCCCTGTGGATTCCCATGGCAAGGGGCAGAGGGCCAAGTGCGTGGACGTATGGATGTGTCATTTTGTTACAGGGAAGTGGTGAAGAGGTGGAAACAATAATGCAGTCTACCCCGTTGGATTAGAGCTTTCCCTGACTCCCTTTCTGTTGGGCTGCTGGTTGGCAATGGCTGTGTTCCTCTGCTGAAGGCCACCAGTTCTGTTGGGCACCTTTCTCCTGTAACCACTGTTCTCTCTCTGGGCTCTGATAACCATTCTTTCCCCTTGTCACCTCAGGTCTAGGAATGGTAAAGACTCCTGACTGTGCTGGCTCCAGGGTGCTTCACCATCCCTTTACTAGTTTCTCGTAATACTGTCTACATCTTTGTAAATAGTCACTTCGTTAAAGTCTTAATTATTCCTTATAAATGTGTGTTTGTTTCCTAAAGGGATTCTGACTGATACGCTCAGTGTAGGCAGCATCTCCTAGAATCCTTATTCTTTTTTTTTTCCTGTACTTACTGCTTTCTTATCACTTACCATATTACATTATTATTTATAGAGGTGTATCTTTTCCATTGAAGCTTTTCAAAGGCAGAAGTTTTTATATTATTTGAAACCAAAATAGGTAACACATTGCTTAGTATATAGTGAACTCTTAATAAATACTTATTGAGAAACCCAGTTAAAGGAAAAATTCTCCTCCCCCCTCCCCCAACAGAATTGTACATAGAGCCTCAAATTGTAAAACAGCTAAACCTATTTTGGCTAAAGCAAGTTCCTAAAGGAGCGGGAGGTCAGGAGCCTGATGCGCTCAGCCTGTTGCTCATGCCCTGGCAGCAGTCTTGGGAGGAGCTCCTGAGTCACGCAGCCTAGTGAACCCAGGCTGAAGACTTCTGGTCTCGATGATCTCACAAGGTCCCTTCAATTCAGTGAGTCCCTTTTCATGTTATCAAAAATCTTGAGTGAGTGCTTGAGAACCAAAAAAATTCCATTATAGTTTGCCATTTGTCATCAGAAAACATGATCTAGCTAAATATAGTTTTAATAAATGGCCTAAAGAATGCTTATGAATAAGAAAGGAATTAATATATTGAAGTGCAGAGAAACATTGTGAATTCCAATGCCTATCTTTAATTCACCTATGTATCTGGTTTGATGAGATGCTTTTAGACTAGTGGCTCTCAAATTATGGTCCCCAGACCAGCTTAGCATCACTAGGGAACTTGTTAGAAATGCAAATTTTGTGTCCTGCCCAGACCAGAGTCGGAAACTTTGCAGGTAGGGCCCAGCAGTTTGTGTTTTAACAACCCTTCCTTGTCCTTCTGATGCACACTAAAAGTTGAGAGCCACTGTTTTAGAGAAATAGCTGTTGGTGGTGGGTTTTTATAAGGGAACGCTTTGAGTAGCTTCTTTCATGGCAGTATCTGTTGCTGTTTACCAGTATGCAGCTTTCATTTCTTCTTTTAGCAATATCCACAGTGATTTAAGAGTTATCACTATCCTAGGTGTTAGTGGTCCATGAATCTGATACTTCATGCCCTGAGCAGCTTCCCTGGGATCTGGTAGAGTCAGCTATCCATATTGGGGGTTCAACAGCCGCAGATTTCTAACAACTGCGGTTTGAAAGGCCTACGATGGTTGTGTCCGTACTGAACATGTACAGACTTTTTTTTTGTCATTATTTCCTAAATAATGCAGTATAACAACTATTTACATAGCATTTACATTGTATTAGGTATTATAAGTAATCTAGAGATGATTGCAAGTATATGGGAGGATATGCGTAGGTTATTGCAAATACTACACCATTTATATACAGAACTTGAGCATCCATGGATTTTGATATCCACAGGAGTCCGGGAACCAATCCCCTGCGGATACCGAGGGATGACAGTATACATTAGAGATTGAATGCGTTATGAACTCTTTAGATATTCTTGTAATAATTTCCTTCATCCTTGCTATTTTGAAAGAGGGGTGGGATGGCAGACATAAAGTTATGTATCTTACTCTTTGTTGGCAGGAATAAACTCTGTTGGAAATTGAGATGCTATCATTTTAGCCAATAGAAAGAAATTTGAACCAAGATTCTGAAAATATAAGTCTAGTCTTGACTTTGTTGTTAATGAAGATTATGGCCTTGAGCAAATGGTATAATTTCTTGACAAGCTTTAGGGGATTATATTGTTTGTCTCTGTGGTTAGTTTTTTCTTAGGAGCTTGGATTACTAGTGTCAAGATGGTTTTTCTGTCCCATTAATGAGGTACAAAGGAAAAAATGAGGTATGGGTGTACATTTTTTATTCACCTATTATGAGAAATGTGAATATAGCAGGAAGTCCCTCAGGAACAGCTAGTTTTGAGTTGAGATGCATTTGTGGGCTTTGAACCCCCACGTTCATTTGTACCACTGAGAATGGTACATGGGAGGCAGTTTATTTTTGTGATAAAGGCTTTGAAGTTAGGCTTTGGCTTCAAATCCTGGCTTCATCATTTACTGACTTGACCTTGAATTCTGTGGGCTTTAGTTGCCTCATTTGTAAGTTGGAGCTAGTATAAGGTTTGGGAGAGAGAACATATTTACAGATTTTTAGTATGGATCCTGGTAGGTGGTAAGGGCTTAGTAAATGGTAGCTTTATTAGTTTTCACTATTAAAAGCAGTCCAGCATAACACAGTATGACATATATGTGAAACTAGTTTGATGTTCCAATTTTTATCATAATATGGATCAAGAAGAAGAATCAAAACAATTTTTTTTGTACTTTGACTTTATTTATTTAAAAAGTATCATCAAACCTATATGACTGAGAAGTTATTCTCCCATTTGCTTTTTCATAGAGCATGTTAAAATTCCGGCTTATGATGTGATCTCTTGACTTTAGGCGATGATGAACAGAGTGATTGGTTCTATGAAGGAGAGTGTGTCCCAGGGTTCACTGTCCCTAATCTTCTGCCCAAGTGGGCTCCTGATCATTGCTCTGAAGTAGAAAGAATGGATTCCGGACTGGATAAACTTTCAGATCCCACGTTCCTTTTACCTTCTCGGCCAGCTCAAAGAGGTAAGTTTTGAGGAGACCAAAATGTACTTGACACTTATATGGTTCTCTTTGGGGAGAATCATCCCCTGGCAAGTGTACTTATGTTGCTAAGCCCACATTCACTGTCTGGATTTTGGAGCTAGTCTAGGGATTTTTCTGGAGGACTCAAGGGTGAGTCTCAAAGCTTGATGTTCTCTTCTAAAGATAGGAATCTTTAGATTCTTATCTAAATCAATCTGTGGAGGCCCTTGGGATAAATATAGCAGGGCGTTCCTTCAGCTCGCCATTGCCACTGTGCAAGCCTGGCAGCGTGGGAGGGTGCTTATCCTGCTGGGAAACTGATGGACTCTTGAGTGCTCAATGGGAGCCTGAGGTATTGGATCGTGGAAGAGAACAGATTTCAGTAACAACTTTCGCATACAAGGTATAATGGCATTTTTTAAATGGATGATTTAAAAATATTTCCTTAAATAATTTTACTTTGATAGTTCTATTATTGTAGACTTTAATACAACACAATACATAGATTTTAATATAATACATATCCCTTCCCTTTGCTTTTCCCCTTTGATTATGATGTAGCAAGATGGGATGGAAAGAGGCTAGGACAGGGAGAAGGAAACGTGGTAATACTCTTTGGTACTGTCTACCTAGCTCTGTGACTGTGACAGTCACTTCATTTCTTTGGGACCTCAGGGTCATCACTTAAGATATGGTAACATTGAACAAAACTGTTTCAGAGGTTTCTTTTAGCTCTATAAATTTATGATTCTAGGATTCCCAGTAATCAGTAATCAACCAGTTAGTCATTTATCAAGTTTTTGTTGAGCATATTTTGGTGACCAGAATTACACCAAGAGCTGTAAGCTCCTAATATCATAACATTTTGTTGTGATGGATTTGAGTGATGGAAAGCCTCTGAAAGCAGTTGGTTCTTGCTAAGGACTACTCCCTGGCTGAGGCACATTGTTTCCAGTTGTCTTTTCTGTATATAGAACACATACCGGGGTTAGAAAAATGGGATTATATTATGCATGCTATTTTTATCATTATTTTATGAATTAGAATGTTTTTTGAGATAATAACTAGCATTTAACTTAATTTAGAAATTGTTGATACTATCTTATCTTTGTGTAGTATCTTCCATATGTTCTTTCATTGGCCCTTCAAAGTAGCCTTGTAAGATAGGACTGAGCAAGTGATTGTTCCTCTTTTATAGACGAGGGTGCCTAGGTCAGAGGTAAATGACGTGTCTAAGATCATACTGCTGGTGACTGAGACATGGGAATAATAAATCCTTGGCAGATATTCTAGTGATACTAGTTTCAGGGTCAATCTAGTAAGATCCTGGGGGTTAAGGCCTTTGGGGTACCGGAAGTATATCATTGCTCATGAATCTTCTGCATTGACTTACTCAGGACTTTCTGCTTTTTTTTTTAGGGTACCATGCTCGCTTGAATCGTCTGCCTGGAGCTGCAGCTCGATGCCTCAGAAAGGGGCGAAGAAGGCTTGTTGGGAAGGTGGTAGCTCTCACCCTTTATTAGGCTTAGTGGGAAGATAATATTCCCTGTGGGATTTGTGTACCTGTTCACAATCAAAGGTGCTGTTGAACTCGCTGGTGTTAATTAAGCCAACTGAGTATTGTGTGAGTTCACGAGAGTGAATGTTATGTAGAATATGAATGGATACACACCTAAAAGATGAAGCATAGTTCACACAGAGGTTCTGACAAAGCACACGTTGTCCTGACATTGTCTGTGTCTCTGTATCCATAGGCCTGAGCTCTGTCTTCTATTCTTTTGATTTATCTTATATTATTAATATACGAGTTAAAATACCCTTGGCTTCTTTATGACTCCTCCTAAATTCATGAATGCGTCTTCTATCCTAATTTTGTTCTTTCATTCTAGAAATTGTTAACAGAGGTTTTCTTTCCAGTTTTTTCTTTTTATCAAATTTCGGAAGCCACTCCTTGGCCATTAGGGAGGAAGATGTGCCATTGACTCAGTTCTGCCTTTGCCACGGTCTGTGCGAGGCACTCAGTTCATGCACTTCTCCCAACAACCTTGTAAAAAAGGTGATATTCCTCTTTAGCAGATGAGGACAACTTGAGTTCAAAGAAGCTAGGAAATATGTGATATTACCTGTATGGAAATGGCCGAATAGAGAATTGACCCCAGGTCTACTTCTCTTTTATCTTTTTTAATTTAAATTTTAAAAATTGTTTTATTTTTATTCTAGCTTTGAGATTGAAAATAGGTTAAGACTGAGGCTCATAACCAGTCAGAGAAGATGGTGGTGGGCAAAGAGGAAGGAAGGGAGAGCATTTTAGAGCATTAGTTTGTTTGTTCAGTCAGTAAGCCGTTAGAACGCCTACTGTGTGGCAGCTCGGGTATGTTGTAGTCAGAGCTGCAGTCTGGCCGCCGTCAGGGAGCTGCTGTTTTACAGTTTAATCAGGGAACTGCTTTCTAAAGTTTTAGGCATGCAAAAGAATTGAGGCTGTTTATTTCCAGATGAACCCAGATTCTTACTGCTTTTATCTTTAAATTCAGTTTCAAATCTCTAATTAGAAAGACATTTGATTATTGGAAGAATGACACCTTCTTTTGGATCACTCATTTTGCAAACAATGAAATGCTGCTTTTGCTATTCTGGGAGCTGCTGCTTAAGAGGACAGCTAGCAGGGTAGGAGTACATGGCGGGGAGGCAGGCAGGAGGTTGGGAGTGGGGACCTTTTCTCTATTGGTTAGGCTTGACAGATAATGTTCTCCCTGTCACCTGCCTTACTTTGTTTCAGCTCCTATAAAATAAGAGCCTTCCACTTGCATGGAAGTACATGGTTCGTCTTGAAGGCCCCCTTTAGCTCGCCTGGAAGGAAAACCAGGGCTGATGCAACATGCCTCTAATGATTTCAAATGAGTAGGATAATATTTACTTGTTTAATTCATCTTCATCACCTTAAAGGGATATTTGTCATTTCTAGCAGAGGTCACTGCTCTACTCCCCTTCTTCCCCTCCCCCATCTCCCCTCTCTTTTTCTAAATTGTAATCATAAATAATGAGTTTCATTCACAGCTCCCTGCCAGCAAGTTGCTAATTACGCAAAGTACTGCTTGTAATTTACACAGTAATAAACTGTAAATTTAAACATTATGGCACTTTAAGTTAATAATTTTTCTGCTGTAACAAATAGCTCATTTTTCACCCATCTTTTCCCTTGTCCCCACTACCCTGGTTGTGTCTGTGACCAGGAGGCATAGCATGAGGGATGAAGAATATGAAGACTACAGTATGTGAAACCTTTTCATTTAGCGCCACTCCTGCCCAGAAACTGACTTCAAATTAGTTTTTCTATAGCCAATTGTTCTGCTAAAATGTGTATCCTAATGTTTAGACTAATCCACACACATAGATGAATACAGATAATAATATTTTCCCAGAAACAAATGTGTTTGAGTAACAGCCTTGACATCCTTGACATTCATGCCTGTGACATGCTGTCTCATCTTAACACTTATTCTTATGTGCGTAACTCTTACTCGTGTACACACTGGTATGCCCGCTACCGTGATCGATATTCATTGTAAATGTACGCAAGTTAAATGAAGGGTGGGTGCCTTCTGCCATTTTCCAGTTTTTGGAGATATTAGTTTCTGAATTGCTTGTGGTGTTTCGGGTAAGATTTCATATTACACTCTTGAGAACCCCAAATTTAAGAACCAATTTATACAAACTTTTATTTTTACTTTGAGAGATGACCTTCAAAAGACAAAATACAGGGTGACAATTTCGTAAGTTAGAAAAGTTGTTTGATGTGTATACATTTAGTCAGCAGATATTTAGTTGTTACCAGTGAGGACTCAGTACATGTCCCATTATGAAAGCTGTTGGGGTTTTTATCATATGATAAAGGGAGCTTGGTGTGTTGGACTGTTAAAAATTGGCTGCTGTTGGATTTTTTTTTTTTTTTTGTAAGGAAGATGTGCCCTGAGCTAACACCTGTTGCCAATTTTCCTCTTTTTTTTTTTTCTTTTTCTTGAGGAAGACTAGCCCTGAGCTAACGTCTATGCCAGTCTTCCTCTATTTTGTGTGAGGGTTGGCACCACAGCATTGCTGATGAGTGGAGTAGGTCTGTGTCTGGGATCCGAACCTATGAACCTGGGCTGCTGAAGCACAGTGTGTGGAATTTTAACCAGTCGGCCATGGGGCTAGCTTCTGCTGTTGGATTTTTAAAAAAGTGTTTCTGTTTCCATATACTTTAATAACTGTGGGAAGTATTACTCACTGTATTGAAATACCATATATAGTAAGCAATGTTATGACTTTTTGAGCACTAGAGAAAACTAAGTCTAGAATAACATGTAATGCTTTTAAGATCGATTCCCATAAAAAGAAATGTAGTTGCTGTTGGATTTAAGGTTGACATTTGTCCTGTGCCTTTGAGGTTGCTGATACAGTTGTGGGAAAGCTGTGGGCTTGATGACAGGTGTGCTTTGTGTATTTGTTTCTGTGGTCAGATGATACTCTTGTCTTCCTTGTCTTTTCAGGAGACCAGCATAAGTGCTCTGAGTACTGAGAGGATAGGCCACATCATCAGTGACCCTCGGCAGAAAGAGTAAGTGCTTGTATATTTGTGGACTCTCCTAGCCTGTTCTTGGAGCAGGAGGCAGAGGGAAGTTTTATGAAGGAACCTAGAAATCCGACTTTGGAGCTGAAAGAGGAGATCTTAAAGACTTGCACTTTATAACAGTTAACATGGCTAACACCCTAAGCCCATGAGAGTGATGTTTTTTCCTTTCTAGACTAGTTTATGTTCTTTTTATTTCTATAGGTGCTGCATTATAAAAGTAGCCTCCAATAAAGATGGTATATTTTAAACTTGTTGTTCTGTCTCTTAAAAATTTTTTTTGTTCAAAGTGGGTGATTGCTTCTATATTCCCCTTTAAGCTCATCCCATTTTTAGACCTCTAGATAGAGAAATATCCTTTTTGTCCTAACTGCTGTGATAAGAGCAATTGGGAAGCCTGTGTGTAGCTGTAGGACAATCATTCCACCTTTTCTAGTGACAACTTCGTCCCCTGACATGATTGGCTCTTTAATGTCTCTTGTACACATCATGGTCAGTATAATGTTATGACTCTGTATGCATCCAGCCTGGTCAAATTTATAATTTACAAAATAGGCAAGATCTGTGTGTGGTTTATGCCCTTGTTGAATGGAGGATCGTGTTGTCATTGCACAGCTGAGAATGTGTTGGTGTCACACCATAATCTTGGGTTTATTTTACATTCCATTACAAGGCTTTTTCTTTCAAAGAGTTATTTTCCACAAAAAAGTTCATTCACATTTAACATGTCTCTCCTTTTCTCCTCCAATTCCATCTTTTTTCCTATTTCTTTCTGTGTCTTCACTTTGTGATCCCAACGCCTTTTAATCTTCTCCTCTCTGTAATGTTTCTACCACTTCTTTTATTGTTTTCTTTCCTGTTATTCTCTCCTTCTCTTTAGTTTCTGGTTACCGTCAGCTGGGAAAAGAGAACGAAATCAGGTAAGATTGCTTTTCTTTATCATCTTTATTTTATCATTTGGTTTCCTTTTCTTTAGAAAGAATAAAGCGTTGGCTTCTGATTTTCCTCACATTTCTGCTTGTGCACATGAGGTAAGGTTCCCATTCCCTGTGTTATTCTGATTTTCTTGGAGAGCTGTTTTCCAAGAATATCCAGTATTCACTGATAAGATCTGTATCTCATTCCCCTTTTAGATTCAGCTGTTATCTTCAGTTTATTACTTGTAACACTTATTTCATAGGAATCCAGTTTTCATTTTAGTTTTGAATTTTGCAGTAAGAAATCAGAATTAAACTGCTCTCCTCATGGTTTAGTTCAACATTGGAATCCTGTGCTGAGGAGTACAATGTTGCAGCTGAAACAGATGAAACAGAAGAAGAGCTGCTCTGGGTAGAGTCGGGTTGAGGCCTTAGAGCCTTACCCTCTTCGTCTTTTCTCTGGGCTGAGCCTTTGTAGGGGGTCACAGTGTTAAGATTCTTGACAGTGGCTATCGATATAGCCCTACGTTTGAAGCTTTTTGATTTCTTGGGGCGAGGGGTTGCTTTATCTTGGTGATTGGTTGTAAAATGGATGACAACTGATAGGGAAATATTCTCAGGCTTCCTACTGCTCCATGATTTTTTTTTGGCTACTTAGTAGCTCATTAAGTTGATCTATGTTTTAGACTTGGAAGCTTCATCCTGAAGTCACTGTTTGAAAATGAACTAGAGCAGTGGTAGACCTAACTGCTCCATGTTTATGAGATGATTTTAGATGGGAAATGGACACACAATTTTTAAATTATAATAATTTACATTAGAAAAATGTAATCATTTTATCAAACTTGTTATTTTGTAGGAATATAGTAAGGACAAAGCTGGGTAAAAATAATTGATATAAAGAAAATTACTCAGAAAATAGTAGTGCAGGTAGTGGGCAGATGAAGAGAAAGTCATTAAGGTGGTATATGAGAGTCTGTAGTTTGGGGAGCTCAGAGCTAGAGTCCTAATCATGTTTGCAGCAGAGGCTCTAAAGGTGGAGGGACCTGTGCTGATCCCCTAATCCAGGCCTGTTATTTACAGATGAGGAGCTGGAGGACCCTAAGATTTAAACTGCCCAAAGTCACACAGCTGGTTGAACTGGGACTGGAACCTCTGTGACAGAGAGAACAGTTGCTTAGTTTGTCTTCTTTTAAAGTTCTTTTGAAATTACCATTCAGAATTCTTCCAGTCTTCAGATGTATTTAGATCTGACCTTTTTGGGGAGGATTATTTATTGTGGAAAAAGTCCAAAGAAGGCTAGCCAACATAAAGTGAGGCACTTTTATATATGGTATCCCATTTGATCCTCACACCTGCCTTTGAGGTCAATTGATGTTTTACAGATGAGAAACTAAAATTGCTTTATAAACTGAAAGCAATATTTCACTTAGCCCTCACAATAATCCTATAAAATAGATAAGACAGATAATGATACATCCATTTTACAGGTGAGTATGGTAAAGCTCCAAGCAGTGATGTAATTTTTAAGACATGGCAACTCAGTGGTAGACTGGAGCTAAACGCTGGGTATTCTCATTCTTTAATGTAGTTCTGGTTCCACTACACTGTGCTGCTGGTATGTGCTAACCAGTTATTCACTGGGAACATTGCCAGGATAAGGAATAAGGTAATTTCATGCTAGTTTTCTTGGAAACAAGGGCTGATAATCAATAGGCATAAGTTCCCGTTAATGTCAGAAAGTGCTATCTTTTGCCAATTAAGTAATTATTGTGTATCGGGAGTTTTTGAAAAATTGTTGTTTGCCAAGGAATAGTCTTCCTTTGAGGCGTACTGGATCACGTGTGCTCCATTCATGGGTATTCCGTTGAATACGTGCAGCTTTATTAAATGGTGTCTGTGGTGTGGCAAAAGACTAACAGTCAAAGGGGAAAAGCAATCAAACAGCAGGTTACCCTTTAGGACCAGGTCTGTTTGTGTAAGCCTTCCTGAAATGCTCTGCTTTATTCCTGCAGTTTAATCCGCTCTCTCCCCTTTACTCCCTGGATGTTCTCGCTGATGCTTCTCACCGAAGATGTTCACCAGCACACTGCTCTGCCAGGTAATGGTCTCCTTAGTGCCTGTGATTTTCCTCCAGGCAATACCATTTTCCTTTTTATAACACTTTTCAAATCTTAAAGTATGTCTGTGTATAGTATCCAATTTGATCTGTACAACAACCTTTTGAGGTCAGTAGATGTTTTACAGATGCAGAAAGTGAGGCAGAGTGGTGAAGTATCTTTGCTGTGGTCACATGACTAATATGTGATTTAAGTCTCAATTTTGACCTAAGTCTTCTGGCTCATATTTTGTATTTCTTTTGCTAAAAGCCCCATCTTCAAAGAACATTATTATTATTAATGGTTCTTGCATGATCTGCAAAACCCTGCATAATTTGACTTCTGCCTGCATGTCCAAACTCCTTCCATACGCTTCTTCCCCTTCACCGTGGGAGAGACCCAGCTGCGCAGGGAGTCCCACTGCGTTCTTCAGAAACAGCAGCCCGTTCCTGCCTCTGAGTATGTGTTCCCTGTGCCTGGACTGCCGTCTCAGAGCTCTGCCCATGATGAGCTCCCTTTCAGCTCAACTCATGCCACCTCCTCAGGGAGGACCTCTTGGACCATCCTATCTAAAGGGGCTGCCTCCAGCTCTCTCTGCTTGTTATCTGTTTCTTTCCTTTAGAGCTTTTATCACAGTCTGTAATGAATTTGCTTGTAAGTTTTTCCCCCTGGTTTTCACCCGCATCTCTCTCACTAAAGTATAAGCTTGAAAGGGCCGGGATCTTGCCTTGTTCCCTGATATATCCCCAGCTCCTAACACAGTGTCTGCCACTTGCTAGGCAAAGTTAGCTGACATGCGTAGTAAATATGGTGTTAATGGTAGCATCCCCGAGCAGGGTTATTGTGCACGAAAGAGCCGCTAATAGTCTGAAGCATAATACTTGTATGATTTCTAGTGGCACAAAGAATTCTTTCCACGGTTCTGATGATTTTTTCCTTCTTGTTTTGCCCTAATAAGTTCTTAAATGGATATGTTCATAGATTTGGGATGTAGGCTGCACAGAGAAGTTGTTCTTTCATGGGTACAATTAGAGCGTGGCCTGTAATAATAAACTCTGCACCATACCTACTGCCAAACCTTCTACTGGAGAAGTGGTATTTCAATGAGGAAAGTCTTTTGAAGAGAAAGACCATCACAAATGGTGTTACTGAGACTGCAGAAAATTGTGGGATGATGATAAACTACCCCTGAAAGGCCTTTTCTTCAGTAGTATGCTGTTTATTTATTCAGTATTTGCTGACTCCCTACTATGTGCTGGGCTCTTTGTTTAGGTACTGCCCTCAAGGAGCTTACATTCTCTTGGGGAAGTCAGGTGTGGAAATGGACAGTTACAGTATGGATTGACAAGTGCATACAGGTGTGCACCAGAATGATAGGGAGCACAGAGGAGGGGCTCCTAAGTCTGAGGCTCAGCGAGGTTTTCTTAGAGATGGTGACTCAAGCTATCTTGAAAGACACAAGGTTTCACTCCGTAAGCAAATAGTTCTCCGGCTTTTTGTCTTAATACCGAATAAAACAATGGCTGTGTATACTCTTTGGGAAGACTGTATGAGGAGTGCCATATCATATCAGATGTTAAGAGTGGACTCTTTGCCCTCCTCCCTTTACCTCTGCTACCTAGAGCTGTACTGTGCTGAGATGGGTATCCCTGCTTTAATCCAGTTTCCTGTTGCCTTTAAATCCTCATCCTGGCTGGAGTGGGTGTCAGCTTCTTGTTTCTTTGTGTATCTCATTATCCACGTCATTATCTTCATTCTTTCGTTGGCACGGCCTGTGCCTGGACTTGGAAACATAAGGAAGTCTAGGCTGTGCTTCTGGTGCCCTCAGCTCTAGGGAAATATTGCTTATTGCTTTTGACCATTGCTAAAAGCAAGGCAAGAGAATATGGACAGTTATACCTCATCCTTGTCCTTGCGGACATCACTCCCAGGGCAGTGGATACAAAGTGGATTGCATGCATCAAGGTTCTTTGGGATGGGGGAAGAAAATTTTTAAACTTACATTTATTTATAATCTTGTTCTTAAAAATTTCTACATATATTAGGTCTAGCAGCACTTATTTTTGTTTTATAGCTATGTATTACATATAGAAGGAGTGTTTGCTGAAATTTTTTACTCATGAGAGCATACAATCAATGAAGTTGGGGACCACTAATCTATGGGAAATGGTCAGCGCAAGTGACCTCTATGCAGATTTTAGAAAATGTGGATGATGAAACACTGAGCTCTCAGGGCTCCCTCTCATTCCTTTGAAGTAGTGGGGTCCCTGCCCTGCATGGGGTCAGTAGAGAAGGAGCAGTCTAGCTCCAGTGTGGCCAACTGATGAGAGCAGATTCCGAACTGGGTGGCAGGCTTTACGAAGGGTGGGCCGTTTAACAAAGCCTGGCACCTAGGAAAGAATGTTAAAGAGTGGTGGGGGGGAAGGGGCAGGTGAATGACTGTATTAAAAACTGTTTTGAATGGAAATTTTACCTTTTTCTTGTTCCATTTTATTTGTAGTAGGGAAAGATTTCTTTCAAAGCATCTGGGCAGCATTGGGAATTTCACACCCATCATTAGAACGATCTGTGTGTGTGTGTGTGTGGTGACTGTTATCATTAATGGTATAATTTTATTTTGCGAAGAGAGAAGTGTTTCCTGTTTTATCACAGCTTTCCCCGAGGAGGGCTGGTGTATTAATTTGCTGCATTGCCTCCTGGCTCTTCCCAGGCTGTTTTTCCTCTTCATCATGGAATTTTTAATGGCCCTAGTGCCTCTTGGGAAGCATGTGAGGAAGAGTTCCTCTGGGAGTGCTTCCCTTTTTTCACATGCCTATAATTACTCTCCTTTAAGAGCACAAAGAGTTTGATAATCATGCCTGAACTGTGAAGGTTTCCTCCTGTCAGGTTACTGAGCTGAGGCTGCTTCCTGCCTGGACGTTGCCAGTTCCACTCTCTCAAATACTCAACTGCGTGAGAGTGAGGACCCCTCAACCACCTCCTCATTTGCTAGAGCATTCTACAGCTCTGGTTCTCAGAGTGAGGCCTGGGGGCCCCTGGGGGTCAGTGAGTGACCTCAGGGTACTCTCTTGTTTAGTATTTCATTGCTATAAACGAAGAAATAATGGAACTGTGATTTTAAAAGAACATTTTATTGATGTATTATTTTAATACAGCCCAGATGGCAGGCACAACGGATGGGAGAGGGTGTCTTTGTGGTCTTTGTACCACCTAATAGATGAATGGGTTAAGAGGTTTTCAGAAATTCCACTCTAGAAATAACTTAAGCGTGGTGGTTTTCAACCCTGGCTGCACTTTTGAATCACCTGAGAAGCTTTAAAAAATATATCCATGCTTGGCCCCACTTCCCAAGATTCTGATTTAATTGGTCTGGGATGAGGCCCAGGCATTGGCATTGTTTTAAAGTTCCCGGGTGACTCTAATATGCAGCCAGGGTTAAGAACTATTGTCCTAAATGCATATGGTTTTATGACTGGTGCTTTGTAATTTGCTTAACAGGAAATCCCATTTCGTAATTGGCACAAGCTCTGTGCTTTGATATTGTGAGCACGATTCCTTAGGGGAGGTAGAAACTGGACTTCTTCGAATTGGAGAACTGCTGCAGGTGAGGAAGAGATTGTTAGGGTCTAGCATAGTGCCCAGCGTTTAGTGATTAACAAGTGGGACAAGTGTTGAGTGGGCGTATGGATGGTTGGATAGTCGCCAGGGAGCATGGATACAATTCCTAAACCAGCTGTTTTGGTTGCTGCTGTTGGGATGTTGCTATTAAAGTAGTACTCTTTGGTATCGGTGTTAAGAATTGCTGCTGTTCCAACAGCAGATGGTGTGATTGGTGTTCTGGTAGAGGCGATGGTGCTGCTGTCAAGGGCACAGTCATAGAATGGTAATAAGGAGCTAGTGCTGTAGGCAGCTTTTCCCAAAAGGAGAGATTTATTGATTGTGAAGGATAGCTTTTCTAACCGTTATTGCTTTAGAAAACCATAACTAGAACTTATCAATTGCTACATCTCTCTGTATGATGCACAGGCCACCAGTTGTAGTTTTTGAGTGTTTAATGGCAGTTGTCAGTTTTCTCCAGCTTTCCTGGCCTTTCCTCTGTTTTGGGTGGTGATTTGGCAATATATCACCATTTTCCATTTATTCTTTCTCTAAGTTCTTAATCTTGTATTAGTGGTTATTAGTGTGAGGTGGACCCAGGTAAGAGTCTTAGCTTCACCTGGGCAAATGACTTAGCCTCCCATGCCTCAATTTCCTCATCTTTGAAAGGGAAATATCAATATTTATTGGGCTAGTGGGGACTAAAATGAAATAACACGTTTGAAAATTTAGCATACTGGTAGCTGCTCTTGTTATTTTGTTAGGCAGTGACTACCCTCCCCTGTTCTTAGGATAATTGCAGTCTTGCAAACTTGAGTTGGCTTCGAGTCGTTTGCTAATGAGATGTAGCACGGATTCTTGAGGTGCTTAAATGGCCTCAAATGGACTCTAAGAGGAGGCATTTGGACAGTGTTTGGGTAAAAAAGAGAGAAACCTTCCTGCCCATTAGAGTGGCAATACGATAGGCGGTGCTCATTGTAATTCATTTTATCTGTTCACAAACGTTATGATCTGCATATCAGAGTTGTGTGCCCAGCTGGCTGTGCCATTTGACAAGGACTTTCAAAGAGCAAGAAGAAGACTCAATTCATGCTATTAATTTTGACCTTTGGAGCCATAGTAAACAGCCTCAGGTTTTACCTCAGGGCTTGGGGGACAGAACCTCGTATTAGCCCTGTATCTGCTGGGCATGCTGTGAGCACAGCAGCTCTGACTCATCTCTTTAGTGCCTTAGTTTCGGCCATGTGTGAGAACACGTTTCTGCTACAATATTGTCCGTAAGGCTGCCTAATTCTCCTGGAACTTCCCATTATATAGCACACGGTTCTTGAATCTTTTGTCCTCTGTTGGACGGTCTTGTTTACAGCAGCTCTCAGCCGGTTGGTGTCTTACTGCTTAAGGGGAG